ATTTGTGGATGTGTGCTTTTTTCCTAGGTTTTTTTTTTTCAGCCTTTGTGTTTGTGTGTGTGTGTGTGTGTGTGTGTGAGAGAGAGAGAGAGAGAGAGAAATTCCCATGGGATGAGTGATTTGGGGGTCTTCGATTTGGGGTGTTCTACATGCCCAGGTTCATTTCTTCAGCAGTAAGTATGCTGTCAGAAGCAGTATCCTCAAGCCCCTCAAACACTCTTTTTTAAATAATTATTTTATTTATTTGAAAGAGTTACACAGAGAGAGGTAGAGCCAGACAGAGAGGTCTTTCATCTGCTGGGTCACTCCCCAGATGGCTGCAATGGCCAGAGCTGAGCTGATCCGAAGCCAGGAGCCACGAGCTTCTTCCAGGTCTCTCATGTGGGTGCAGGGGCCCAAGGATTTGGGCCATCTTCTACTGCTTTCCCACACCATAGCAGAGAGCTGGACTGGAAGTGGAGCAGCCAGGACTTGAACCGACACCCATATGGGATGCTGGCGCTGTCTGTAAGTCAGCCCATGAGTAGAAGGGCATATCTAAGCTACATGTTGAAGGGGAAGCAGGAGGTAGCTATGTTGGGGTAATAGGGTAGAGGGTATTTGAAACAGGACTAAGGTCAGGTCTCATCCATGGCCAGGGTGAGGCAGCTGGAGATGATCCTGAGGAGGGTGATTTCTAGAAAACCTAAGTTTCATCATGTCCCTCTTCTGCTTACCTCAGTCCGAGCAAAAGCTTAAAGGTTTAATCCTGGGCTCAGTGCGCTTCATGATTTGGCCCCTATGATCTCTCTGCTCATATCTCCTTGTCACTCCCCTCTCCCTCATTCACTCTGCTCTGGCTACACTGGCCTCTTCACTCTTCCTCAGACATGCCAGGCAAAGTTCTTCCTCACGGCCTTTGCACTGGCTGTACTGTCTATTTGGACTGCTCTTGGTTTAGCTATTCCCCATCTCTATCAGTTTCATCAGGGCTCAGCTTATAGGCCATTTCTCCAAAAAGGGCTTTTCTGGCCAACACATGGAAAACAGCACTTTGGGGGCAAAGGTTTAGCACAGTGATTAGGACGTTGCTTGAGATGTCCACATCCCATATCAGAGTGGCTAGCATGAGTCTTGGCTCATCCACTTGCAATCCAGCTCCCTGCTCATGTGCACCCTGGGAAGCAGCAGGTGATGGCTCAAGTACTTGGTCCTGCCATTTATGTGGGAGACCCAGATGGAATTCCTGGCTCCTGGCTTCAGCCTGGCTCAGCTCTGGCAGTTGCAGCCATTTGGAGAGTGAACCAACAGATGGAAGACTCTCTCTCTCTCTCTCTCTCTCTCTCTCTGGCTATCTCTGTGTCTCTACACTTTTCAAATAAAAATGAAATTAAATACAAATTTTTTTAAAAAATAGCGTCTTTTAGCACTCTGCTTTATTTTCCTTCCCAGCACTGTCCCTATCTAAATGATAGTATTTATTTATTCGGACATTTCTTTATAATCTTCTCTGGAACATCACTCCTCTGAGGAACCCTTCTTGTTCATCTTGTTCGTTGTTGTATTTCGAACATCTAACACTGTGCCTAGTCCATAGCAGGTACAGAGTTGTTCTTTGTTCAGTGAGTTACAGAGATCTGGGGAAAGGTTTATATATATATATATATATATTTGTGTGTGTATATATTATATATATATATACACACACATACATACATACACTATATGAGAGGCAGAAAGATTGAGAGAGAGAGAGAGAAAGAGAGAGAGCTCCCATCTCTGGATGACTTCCTAAATGCCCACAATGGCTGGGGCTTGACCAGGCCCAAGCCAGGAGCCAGGAACTCAATTCAGGTCTCCCAGGAGGATGGCAGGGATCCAGCTACTTGAGACGTTGCTGCTGCCTCCCAGCAAGCGCATCAGCAGGAAGCTAGAATCAGGAACGGGAGGCACGTGTTAAACTCAGGCACTCTGATATGGGATGCTGGCATTTTAACCACTGGAGCAAACAAATGCCCACACCAAGGGAGAAGAGTTTTAATAAAAGAATGAAATGGTCACATGTGTACTTTTTATAAAAAAGATTTATTTGAAAGGTCAAGTTACAGATAGGCACACACACACACACACACACACACACAGGTCTTCCATCCACTGGTTCACTCCCCAGTTGGCTGCAGTGGCTAGAGCTGCGCTAATCAGAAGCCAGGAACCAGGAGCTTCCTCCAGGTCTCCCACGTGGGTGCAGGGGCCCAAGGACTTGGGCCATCTTCTACTGCTTTCCCAGGCCGTAGGAGGGAGCTGGATCAGAAGTGGAGCAGCCCAGACTCGAACCAGCACCCATATAGGATGCCAGCACTACAGGTGGCGGCTTCACCCACTACACCACAGCACTGGCCCCCAAATGTGTATTTTTTATAGATTTATTTATAAGTCAGAGTTACAGAGAGGCAGAAAGAGAGAGAGAGAGAGAGGTCTTCCATCTGCTGGTTCACTCCCCAAATGGCCGCGACGGCTGGAACTGCACTGATCTGAAGCCAGGAGCCAGGAGCTGTTTCCAGGTCTTCCATGTGGGTGCAAGGGACCAAGGACTTGGGCCATCTTCCACTGGTTTCCCAGGCCATAGCAGAGACCTGGACCGGAAGTGGAGCAGCCAGGACTCTAACCAGCACCCATATGGGATGCTGGCACTGCAGGCGGTGGCTTTACCTGCTAATGCCACAGCACTGGCCCCGAGATGTGTACTTTTGAAAGTTCCGTCCAGCCATAAGATGGAGAATGGAGTGGAAGCAGAGCTGGGTAGGAAGCTGAGGTAAAAGTTCAGGTGAGAATCATATTTATTAGAGAAGCTCTGTTCCAGGCCCTGTGTTCTGGGTTCACTAGGAGATGACCAAATTCCCTTCCTGTGCTAGGATTCTGGGAGCCATGAACACCAATAAGTGTCAGGCTTTACCAAAGCTAACCTGTGCCATAAGGACAGACACGGGCTGTGTGGGGGGAACCCTGGCCAGGATGAGCAATCCTTTTGGACTGGAGGCATGTGATCTGAATCTCAACGGAACTAGGCGTTGGGGGGCATCTTTCAGATTGCACATGGCAGCGATGATGGGGATAGCGTATCAGATGGAATGTAGCACCTGTGCAGTTTGGGAGGTGGAACACAGAGGAGCATTTGAGAGAGGATCTGGGCCAGGCTGGAGGGTGGCTAGAGAAGGGGCTGGCAGCCAGCCCTGCAGTATGACTTAATGTTTAGGAGTGTGAGCTCTGGAGCCAGACTTCCTGGATTTGAATCCTGATGCTGTCCTTAGTCGCTGTGTGACTGTGGATATTGCACTTGACCTCTCTGGGCCTCAGCTTCTTGATGTGTAAAATGAAGATAAAAGTAACAATTCCTATCTCACAAAGGCTGCTTGTAAGAGCAAATAAGTGATTAGCTGTCCCTCCAATGACAGAAGGAGGAATTTGGGCTCTTAAGCGCAACGGGAGCTATGGATGGTTCATGAACACAGGTGACAGTTGATGGAAAGCGGGCTTGAGCTGTGTGCTGGGAGGGGAGTGGGGGCAGGACCCTACAGACCAGAGGGAGAGGAGAGGAGCATCTCAGTTGGCTGGGCTGGCTGCTGGGCTGCATCTGGTCCCTGGGAGCTGCCATCAAGTGCCCCCAAGGCCCAGGAAGAGGGAGACTTTGGGGTGGAGGGCAGGCTCCCAGCCAGTTTCTGCTTTGCTCCTGGCTGTGAGGCAGGCTAACAACCAGGGAGGGTGTAGGCCAAGCAGTGGGTGGGGGTTCCCAGTAGGGCGGAGTCCAGCTCTAGCTCAGCAGCCTGGGGGCCCAGCCTCCAGGCTGCAACCTCCCCCCCTCCTCCCCGGCACACCCAGCCCCCAGTGCAAAGTGCTCAGCTGCAAGGTTGGCAGACTTCTTGCAGCTCGAGCTCCCGCGCTGCTAGGGACCGACCGCCCCCCACAACACACACACCCACCCCAGCTCACCTTTGTCCTGTGCCCTGGTCACTGCCAATTTGGGACTGGGGAGGAGTCTTTGAACCCTTTGAGCAGCCAAGAGCCCCCCAACCTTGCACGCCCCCAGCCAGACCGCTCTCTGGGCCCCAGCCACACCCATTCTCCCCCACAGCCTCCTCCGTGCCTGCCGCACGTTCCTCCCCTCCTGCACCCTCCCAGTTCTCCCCGCCTCTGTGGCTCCTCACCAGGCCCCGGCTCGGCTCAGGGCGCCTGGGCTGTCGCCACCTGGGTTCCCAGGCAGCCTGGTTGCCATGGCACCATGGGAGCAGGTCTGCTGGAACAACAGCTCTGGATAACCAGGGCAAGCAAGACCCGGGGCCCAGCGCCTGCCACTCTGCAGCCTGCAGCCCCTCGCCCCCTCTCCCAGGCGAGCGGAGGAGGAGGCCATGAGGAGGAAAAGGAAGCTGCCCCGCAGGGCGGCTCTGTACCTGTGAGGATGCTGCACTGGCCAGGGAGGCTGCGGGCAGGGGCGGGGCCGCAGGGGCAGGAGGCCGGGCTGGGGATGGCGGGCTGGGGATGGCCTGGGGATGGCGCTTGTCTGGGTGATACTGGGGATGGGACTGGGAGGGAAAGCACAGCACTGCTGTGTGGGGGATGAGGCTGTGAGGGGCAGAGGGGCGGGGAGGGGTGGGGCTGTGAGGGCACGGGACTGTTAGAAGGAGGCCCCTGAGGGGACAGGGCTGAGCAGGACTGGGACAAAGCCTGGGGTGATAGAGCCTTGAGAGCAAGGAGTGTAAGAGGCTGGATCGAGGAGGGGCCAGGCTGAAGGGGCACCTGAGGATGCAGCGGTCAAGGCCATGGGCCTGAAGGCCAGGGACTGTGGGCACCGTGAAGAGACAGCTCTGGCCTGTAAGTGGTGGGGTCCCTGTCTCTGCGGGAAAACAGGGGCGGATGGGCTTGAGGGGGGGGCGGTGGGCAGGGATCTGCTCCACCCACTTTCAATCTGGCCCAGCACACCCCTCTCCGGATCCCACATCCTGCCTCATCTTATCTCATACCCACAGTGTGGAGGGTGATGCCCCAGGCAGTGACCTGAGCACAGCGGTTGATAGTCCTGGGAGCCAGCCCCCCTACCGGCTGAGCCAGCTGCCTCCCACCAGCAGCCACATGGGGGGCCCCCCTGCTGGGGTGGGCCTTCCCTGGGCTCAGCGGGCTCGCCTCCAGCCGGCCAGTGTCGCCCTGAGGAAGCAGGAGGAGGAGGAGATAAAGCGCTCCAAGGCCTTATCGGACAGCTATGAACTCTCCACGGACCTGCAGGATAAGAAGGTGCAGAATGGGACTGGGAAGGCGTGCTGCCCACAGCCAAGGGAGGAGTCGGCTGTGGCACTCGAGGGGTATCCGGGGTGGAGGGAGGGGTAGGGAGACCTGAATCGGAGATGTAAAGATACATGAGACCTGACTTGATCCCTAAAAACTTGGTCTAGTGGGGCAAGCACACAAATGAGTTGATAGAATATTTTGTGTAGCGAGAGAGAGAGAGAGAGAGAGAAAGAGAGAAAGAAAACAAAATACTCTTTAAGAAAACACCTGGAAGAATATATACCAAAATGTTAACTGTGTTTATATATAGGGCTTTGGACACTATGTGAACTCACTTTCCTGCCTCTTTCCTCTCTCCCTCCCTCTCTTCCTTCTTTCTCTCTTTCCCTCACTCTCTGTCCTCCTCTGTCATCCTCTCTCCTTCGTTTTCTCCTTCCTGTTTATTTCTTCCTTTCTTTCATTTTTTTTATTTCTATGCTACTTTCTCTGTTTTTGAGTCATCAATATGTACTTCCTATACATTAAACCAAACACAGTCCAAATCCCACGTGACCAGTGCTATCTGGGCTTCCAAGGGAGGAGACAGCACCCCAGCACAGCCTGGCACCTTGGGGCGGCTCCAGGCGTTAGCTGGGACTCGGGTGGGGTGGAGCTGTGGTTGACGGCCTAGAGGCTGTTGGGAATTTCTGACCTTGTTGCCTTCCACCCTGCCTGCCAGGTGGAAATGCTGGAGAGGAAGTATGGGGGCTCCTTCCTGAGCCGCAGGGCTGCCAGGACCATCCAGACAGCCTTCCGCCAGTACCGCATGAACAAGAACTTTGAGCGGCTCCGCAGCTCAGCTTCGGAAAGTCGCATGTCCCGCCGTATCATCCTTTCCAACATGCGGATGCAGTTCTCCTTCGAGGAGTACGAGAAGGCACAGAACCCCGCGTACTTCGAGGGCAAGCCTGCCTCGCTGGACGAGGGTGCCATGGCTGGTGCCCGGAGTCATCGGCTTGATCGGGGGCTCCCGTATGGAGGCTCCTGTGGTGGGGGCATTGATGGCGGTGGAAGCTCTGTCACCACGTCTGGAGAGTTCTCCAATGACATCACAGAGCTTGAAGACTCCTTCTCGAAACAGGTCAGGATCCCTGAAAAGTGCCTTTCTTCCCCATTCCCCACACTCTGGCTCCTCCTACTCCTTTCTAACTATATAATCCGAGCTGAATGACATGGCCTGACCAGCATTTAATGACAAGAGAGAGCTACAATCTGAGTTGGCACTGGGAGAATGAGGAAGAATTGACAAGACAAAAACAAAAATGACATTGTTAAACGAGGTAAACTGCAGGTGTATAGAACGGATAAGAAAATGAAAGTTCTCAGCATTTGGAGTTTGATCTGCTGTCAAATAAAGCTTTAATTAACAGGTCATGAGCTCCTACCATGTGCCCGGTGCTGTGTCTGCCCCATAATAGACTCACGGGTCAGAGATGATTATTCCCATTTTACAAATGTGGAGACTGAGGCTAAGGAGCTGACCCTGGTCCTTATTCTCAAAGATCTCCTAGTCCGGTAGGAAATGACCGGCATATGTGTACATCACAATCTTTCTCAGCTAGAGTGTGCTCACAGCCATGAGAAAGGGATCTCTTAGAGTAGTACCACAGGGACTCAGGACGGGGAGGAGGTTTTCTTTGAGGGGAACAGAGACTGCTTCTCTGAGAACACAGCACTGGACCTGGGCCTTGGCAGACAGAGAAGGTTTAGCAGGTTAGAGAGTTGGAAGGGTGTTGCCCGCATAGACACTGCTTCCGCAAAAACAGAAGGGTGGGCATGTCACTGGCATCGCAGGAAGTGGGAGATCACCATAGCCTTCAGTGCATCAGGTGCCTGCGCAGGTGCGAATCCCAGCTCCGCCATTTCCCAGCAGTGGGACCTTGGGCAAACTGTTTAAGCTCGCTGAAACATGACCAATAAAATGGAGAGGTTTTTTTTTTTTTTTTTTTTTTTTTTTTGACAGGCAGAGTGGACAGTGAGAGAGAGAGACAGAGAGAGAAAGGTCTTCCTTTGCCGTTGGTTCACCCTCCAATGGCCGCCGCTGCAGCCGGCGCACCGCGCTGATCCTGGCAGGAGCCAGGTGCTTTTCCTGGTCTCCCATGGGGTGCAGGGCCCAAGCACCTGGGCCATCCTCCACTGCACTCCCTGGCCATAGCAGAGAGCTGGCCTGGAAGAGGGGCAACCGGGACAGAATCCGGCGCCCCGACCGGGACTAGAACCCGGTGTGCCGGCGCCGCAAGGTGGAGGATTAGCCTATTGAGCCACGGCGCCGGCTTGGAGAGGTCTTTTTTAGAGTTGTTGTGAAGATTACATTCAGCTAGGTAATACACACGTGAAAGCACCTGGTAGCTGCTAAGTATGTAGTAGCTTTCTTCCTAAAGCCAGGGAGGGACTTGGTAGAAACTGCTGAATGAATGAAGCTTTATAAGACAAGAAACCACACTCTGTTCTAAACTCTGGGACCTGCCCTGGCTGTCAGCCTGGGCATGCTTCCGTGGAGCGAGTGATGAGGTGGAGGAAAGGAAAGAGATATCGAAGGGGCGTTCTGTATCATTCATGCATCCATTCATACAGCAAAGGCATAGATGACATCTCCTTTGCGTCTAGCAGTGTGCTGACCTTGAACTAGAAACAGGGACTCCAAGCCCATCCCCCAGCCAGGGGGGAATGAGGAATAGGAGATCACTGGTAGCAGAGGTGGAGCAACTAGGCCTGGTCCCAGCTCTTAGTGCTATTCAAGTCTGATGGGGAAGTGGATTAGTTATGTATCGCTGGGTAACAAATTATCCCCAAAATGTAGTAGCTTAACAGCTGACCTTAGAGGCTGAGCTGAAACTGGTATTATCTCATTGTTGACTAGCTCATCCAGTTTCTGAGGGCTAGGAAGCTGAGAGCGGCTTAGCTGAGTGGTTTGGACTCAAGGTCTCTCAGGAGGCTGCAGTCTGATAGTAGGGTGGGATCTCAACCTCTGAAGACTCAGTTGGGCCTGACAGTTCTGCCTGCAAGTGTATGCACTTGGCTGTTGACAGGAGGAGTCAGCTGCTTCCCTTGTGAACCTCTCTCTAGGACTGCTTAGGACCTGGCTTCCCCTAGGCAAGGAGTCTGAGACACACAGAGTCATTTACCAGCTAA